GAGCTTACCCAACTGTCTATAAAGTGTCTTGTCCATCTCTTCCTGGCCTGTAGCAGACTCCCACGATAGTATCAGTCGTATTGACCTTCACTTTTATTCTTACCCATAAACAGTCAACCCTATCTTCACCGTCATTCATTTCCATACATTTATATTCTTTCTTAACATCGAGGGCTACACCACCGCCTTTCCTGCCTTGCCTATCTCTTTTGAACCATCCATCCATCACAGCGCTCCAGCTGTGCAACTCATTTCACCGTATTTCCGTGATGGTGACTATATCATAGCTTTCCGACCTCAAAGTGGCCTCCAGCTCCTCCTGTTTATTACCCATGCTGCATGCATTGATGTAAAAGCATGTGAGCTGTGCTTCCTTTTGAATGGCAGAAGTCTTAATACCCTCATGACTATACTCAAGTGTTTCCATAGCCAACCAACCTGCACCAACTCTCATGTTCTTCCTACAAAAGGGTGAGTCATCCTCTTCCTTCACCAAGACACAAGGCTGTGGGATCTTACTAGCACATTCTTCTCCTACATGCACTGGGACTTTACATAGAGCCTCCATTCTAGTGACCCCCGGTTACACCCCCAACCCCCTTCATACTTAAAGCTCTATCAGTGAACCTTCCCAACTCCCATCTTAAGACCCCTTTCCACTGGTGGGAGAAGCTACTCCTATCGATTGTCAGCAGGCCTGGTCTTGTGCAAACAGAGCAGAGGTCAAAAAATCCAAACCCCTGCCAGGCACACAGGCTCAGAGCTAGGTATTAATCTGTTGGCCCATCATATTTAGTCCCTCATCATTCCCTGTACCTGGAGGGATAGAGGAGAACACAACTTGTGCTCCCACACTCTTTACCTGTTGCCCCAAGGCTCTGAAGTCCTTTTTCGTAGCTTTTAGGGAAGTTCTTCCTATTTCATTGCTGCCTACCTGAAACAATAATAGGGGGTAGCAATTTGAGGGTGGAACTAGGGAAGGAAGGTTCTTTGTTATGTCTCTAACCCGGGCTCCAAGAAGGCAACAGACTTCCCTGTATAGAGTGTCTGGTCTACATATTAGCTCTTCTGCTCCCTTCAGCAGATAGTCACCAATGACAATGAGCCATTGTTTTTTCTTTGCCGATGAGGTTTTAATGCTGAGTGAGGTCTGGTTAGACTTTGGTAACACCACCAGCTGGAGAGAACCACCATCACTGGCATTGTCCAGTTGTCCCTGCAGAGCACTATACCTGTTCTGCAGGGGCAGCTGGGGAGGCACGGGAAACTCTGGGAGGATGCACCTGCATCTCTGAGCAGGAGTCTTTTGCCACTGCCCCACACCTCCCAGTTCTTCACCGTTGTTGATAGGGGGAGGAGAGGACATGGGGTAGCACTGTCAGCTTGCTTCTGTCCCTTCTGTTCCCTTCTGTCACCTGTTTGTAAGGCAGCAGGGGGTGACGTGCTCCATGTGGAGCCTCAGCTGGCTCCAAAGGGTTGGCACCAATCTCCCTGTCACATTCCTTTATGCTCCTCGGCCTCTCCATCTCATCCTTCAGGTCAACCACAAGGCTGAGTAAGTCATTCAGCTGGTTGCATCTTACACAAGTGCCATCTCCCTCACCTAGCACTGCAAAGGCCAGGCTCTGGTACTCACTAAGCCAGAGACCTGCTCACTAGCATCTTCCTTCGGGACCTCAGTCTGGGTCTCCACATTCTTCTTGGCCACAGTTTTCCTTTTATGTGAACATGGGACCTCTGGGTCTCCACGTTTTTCCTGGCAGTAGCCTTCCGCCGGGGCGCAGCCATGGCAAACCAGCAGACTCACCAGTACTATTGGGGTAGCCTTAATGGGGTGTGACTGATCAGCCCTGCCCTGCTGCCGGTAATGCTGCCACCGCCCTCCCCCGTTACCAGCCCGTTAACGGGTGCCCCCGCCTTATCGCTCTCTTCACAGTGATGACAGCCCTCCTCACTGTGCAGTCCCGTGAACGGACGGCTTACGGTTTGTGCACGTTTGAGCAGCCCACATGATGCACACACCCTGACTCCTCCGCTCCGTCCTGCTGGGCGGCGACGCGCCGTTGCCCTCCCGGAGGCGTTTTCTAGGCAGGGTGCTGTGGATGCAGAGCCGTTGCCCAGGCAACGCCAACCGCACGTCAGCCGCTCTCGTGAAAGCTGCTGGGCTGCTCCGTTATCTCGGGGCTCCCTGGATAAGGGAACCCACAGAAACCCTCCTGTACCTCGCTGTCGGTCGCTGCGGTTTTGACCGGGACAGCCGCGAAGCCGCGAACCTCGGCGATCAATTTTGTTCCTTTACTCAAATTGCAAATGGCAATATCATCTTCATCACATAGGCGAATGATGTTAATGGCTCATTATCTAGTGAAAGAATGTTAACTGAGGAATTTCAAACATACCATTTGGGAAAGAGGGAACGTGCTTCTGTAGCAGAAAAGAAATATTCTTGTCCTTCAAGCTTTGGAAAAAAAAGAAAGAAAAAAAAAAAAGACTGTCGAGTACAGATCAAAGATTCCTGGAGTTGAGGCCCAGGACAGGGAAATGGGAGAGCTTCATTTTCATTGTTTGGAGCCCACAGATTTGTCTGTGACTTGAATTATTTTACTAAATGCTTGCTTTAACCTGCCATTCACTGAAAAAAGAACTTGATACAAATAATTGCAAGTGTAACTTTACATTCAACCCTTAATCATACCTCTCATCAACAATATGCATGTACGAACAGTTTTAAAGCAGTTCTAAAAGACTGAAGATATTTTTCTTCTTGACTGAAGATATTTCTTATTGCCAGAATAGGCCTGATAATGAGCCTCAGGAAAATAAAGTTGATATTTGCAGATATCTCACAAGTACTCTGCAAATGCACATCTTTTTCTTTTCAGTGCGGGTGACTGAAGCCTTTTAGGTAACTGAAGTCAGAATGTATGGCTTCCTTGCTTAAAACAGAATTTCTAGTACTTACGTACTGACAAACAGCATATCTTTTGTTGTATAGCTGTTCACTCCCCAGCAGCTGGAGTGTGGCTTTTGACTTTGTTACTTCTGACAAACCTGTGAGGATTATGAAGTTCCAGAACCACTCCATGTTAAAAGATCAAAGACATGGCTCTTCCAATTAAACCTAGGGGTTTTATAGGAGTATGAAAGAAGTTTTAACAGCCCTGTCCAACATTTGCTACTACTTTTATGACTTGAGAGTTAGAGGTTCCAAGAAGTTATTTTCCAGTTATTTTCTAAGGTGTTTCCAACAGAAGTGTTGAAATTTAGTAACTTGGAAAAGTAGGAGAACTGCAGAAAAAGCTAGCTGGCTTTATATGTTACTTAACTACAGGTTCTTGATCAACTGAAACGAGCTGTTTCTGCTTCTGGATTTATAGTAGAATTTGAATTTTGCATGGATATCCGATTGCTGTTCAGTCATGGGCACTTTAACACTTCACCCGGAAGGCGTTCAGGATTACACTGTTCTAAAACTTCCCTTAAAAGTCCTGCTTTAGGTATAAGCACAAAACCCAACAATTCTCACCTCCTCAATAATCTTTCATAACATTCAAAATATACTTCTAAAACCAGTGACTTCTAGCCAGAAGAGCACCAGGTATCTTCCAGCCAGTGTTTGCTAAAGGAATCTTACTAGTAACTTTTGTTACTCTTACTGCAATCATTTAGCAACTTGAGTATAAACTCTTGGGTAATAGTTGAGCAATCTTCCATGCTCTTTGATTGCTCCAATAGCTGATCAGACTTTCCAAGCACACATGTACATTCAAACTATGCTACCAGCAATAAGGAAAGCCTATATTTTCCCCCTTGGAGTTACTGCTGAGGTATGGTGTGATGGAGTGTTGCTGAGGAGTAGCAATTGCTTTTAAACAGGAGGTTGGATGATTAGGCATGAACTTAGTAACAAGTTTAGAGAAGTTATGAGAGAAAGCATATCTAGCAGAATAGTTTGCTGAGAGGCATTCCTCCAGGGAGAATAATGTTATCAGATCGATGTGAGATGTGTGAGGGTAATAGGGCACAGAGAAGGAAATATGTTATCAGAGCTGCTGACTGGAAGTCAGAGCTACTAGGGAGCTGAGTAGTAGAACTCGATAACTACCAGATGTCCCATAAAGTAATGTATATTTCATGGAGATTGCTAAAATATGGAGCCACTGTTTTGATAAACAATGGATACACTGGAACTGAAGAGAAAAACACAGCAGTAAAGGGGGACCTTTTTTCTGAAATGATCTTTCTTAACGTGTGACCTGTGCTGCAGTATAATTCTTTCTCTGATAGGTGGGCCAGAACACTGAGCTTTGGTTCTGCTGCTTCATCATCACCATTTGGCTCTAGATAATGATGAAATAAATGTGAGAATGCTACAGCACAGGGATAAATGCCATTACACACTGCTAACAAAATGAGCAGGGCTGGACAATCAGAGGTTATGGCTCAGCATTTTCTGGATAGGTATCCCATGCAGATTTGTTTCTTGAATTTCTGCAGTACAGCAGGATTTGTTTGTGAGACATAAAGCTTAGCATTCAACGGATATTGGTTCTTCTGTTCAAAGGAAATTCTCTGAAAGTGAATTATAAAAGTTATAGTGCTGCTTCACTTAAATGAACAACTACCCAAGACATCTTGAAGTGAAGAATGATGCTTTGGCTTTCTGTAGTAGGAAATAAGTTAGATGGAAAGGAGGCTGCATCTCCACTGACCAGTGCAGTATGTGAGCAGATGATACAAAACGTGTTGCATCCACAGGTTACTTCTGCATAAGCAATTTCTGCCCAGCATACAATAGTGTAGCAAATACTCCAATATTCTTGGGTTACTAGACTTGTCTATATGTGAAAATTTATCTGTCTGCTTTGTAGTATGTGTACTTTGTTGTATGATATCAAACCAAACAAAATTCACCTTGGGTTGGGAAGATGACACTTAGCTCTGAGACATATTTTAAATGCAAGCCATATTCTTTAATTTTTTATTTTTTAACTTTTCAGGATTTCAGCATTGTTAAAACCTGAGGTACTGGGACATATACATGCAGCCCAGGGTAAGCAGCTCCTTTTTTTCTTTTTTTAATTTTGGACCAGTTTTGAATACATCTTGCACACCATAAGCAGAGACATTACAAAAATTAACGCTTATTTTTATAAGCACTGTTAACAATTCAAGTGACAGCTGAACACTGATCACAGCAGAAATGTAAGGAAGTTTAAAGCATTTGCTATGCATATTTGGAATGAGAATGTTACATATTTTTCCCCTTTCTTCTGAACATCATTTGCACTGTAATGCTGTGACCCAGACTATTACCTACTAACAGGGGTGGTAGCTAAATGGCCAGTTGCAAAATTTGGGATGATAATGTGCCACATTGAAAGACAGCATACTGTACAGTTTACCATGACAGTGAAGAGGTAAGCAGAGGTTGTTACGGAGATTGTCTGTGAAGAGCTAATGCCATGCTTCTCTAAGTAACCATGTCTGTAGGAATGTGTTTTGGGAAGAGCTGGACAGAACTTTTTCTCTCAATAACTTATTTTTGAAAAATATGCTTCCTATTAAGAAAAATATTTTGTAATGTTGTTAGAGCTGGGCTATTTTTCCCCCGTAAGAATCCATTAGAACAATCTGATGTCTTTTAGAAACATGCTATTTATTAAACCATGGCTTCCCACTCTTTTTCAGCACATTATGAGGCAAAAAATTTTCAATAAAAAAACTTTAAAATATTGCAGGGTTTTATGGAATAAAGATCTGCTTTGACTCTCAGGAACTAAAGAACCTTTAGATTCAAATATCCGTGGTGGATGTTATTGATGTAGAACATATATATTGATTTTTAAAATTTGCTTACTGTGTTTTCAACAATCTTCAGCACAAAGAGAATTGCTTGGAAAATGAACGTTCACAGATATCTGTGTAGGCTTCTGTGAGCCTGGTCAAAGATCATTTAGTACCTGCAGATGCCTAGGAAGACAGAACTTCATTGGCAAACGAAGCCCCTCGTTCTTACATGCTGGCCTCTGGTTCAGAAGGGAAAAATTATGATACACTAGTCAACTACAAGCTAGCTCAACAGGCTTTGTCAAGTGGAAAAATGATTCTTTCTTATGCCTTGTATCAATTTTTCTTTTGTACCAAGTAATAACATTATAAAAGCATTAATCTTCCTGTCCAATATACCCAAAACTTTGGCTATATAATCTACTGCAACATGGTGCTTTTGATCTTTTTTTATTTAATATTTTTCAATGTGTTCACATCCTGCATTTTCATGTGGTGTTGACAGCTCAAAATACTTGGTGCTTTTCTGAAATTCTGAGATCTCTAGATTCTGCAGCTGCTTCTGTATTTATTATATCTATGCATTTAGATATATGGATGCATTTAGATATATGTTTTTTGCTGTAGAGCAAATGCTAGAAGTACAAACATTGCGAGGTTAAAAAATCAGCACATTTACCGCAGTAGTTTAAAGTTTTGGGGTTTTCTGGCCAAGAATTTCTGAATCCTTTGCTTAAAACAACTCACTTTTAGTATGTATGCTGAATTCAGATACATTTAATTACTACTCCAAAACCAAATTTCGTGTTTATAAAATTTGATAAAGTGACAGTTTTTTTAAACATGCCAATATTGTAATGCAGTTCTAACAGGGCCAAACATCAATTACAGGATTAAAACTCTACTAAGTTGCAGAAATTCCATTTATTACTTGGAAAATGTATGTTATACAAGAACCCATGATGTAGTGCTTTTGTGAGTTCATCAGGTAATTTTGAAACAGTGACAATCTACTTTAGTGACTATGATGTGTGACAGTCTTCAAGACAAGAGGTCTGATCCTTTAAAACATTTTTCCTGATTATATTGCAATGTATTAGAGAGAGCAGTTAACATTTCACACTTCTCCCCATTCCTTTGCTTGTATAATCTATTCTGGAAAGTATTAAGCTGCATTGGGCTGTAACTCAGAAGACTTCAGCTCCGTCTGAGTGTCTCCCAGTCTTTTTGACTGGTACAAGTCCCCCTCCTTTGCCCAGTTTCTTACCTGTAAATTGATTATGGCAACTATTTGCTCCAGTTGCTTAAGTAGCCATGAACTTTGGGAATATAAGCTGTGTGTATACGGTAGCCAGTACATTGGTAGATGCCTTTAAAATCTCCCATATCCAGAACTATATGACATTAATGTAAAGAAATTGTAAAAACAGTGGATACTTTTCCGTCTGCTGTAAACATTCTCACAAGAACTGTGTGGAGAACAGAAGGGGAAAATAAAGACACGTTGAGTTCCACTAGGAAAGCTTGAAAAAACAGTTTGAACGTATGATAACCTATTTCCCTGTCATCAAAGGCAGTGCCTGATTTTGAGGAAAAGTAGTAATAAATGCCACAAAATATTTTAAAGGGAGCACTATATGAATCTACTGTGGTGTGGGATACTGTTTGTTTCTGGACTAGGAACCGGAGTCTGAAACTTGGCAGGAATAACATGGTCTATGACTAGCTTCATGCACGTCTTGGCTTCCTACTCTAAAGGAAATCATTTGATAAAGCTGAGCGGATCTGTTTTACTTTGTATGATATTTGATGAACAAAAACATCTCTAATGTTTGGCTAACCTTTCAAAAACTTTATTGTGCTTTCACTGTTTAGGGAAATTTTTAAGTTAGCATTAGCGTGAAAAACTACAGATGTTAGTTCTTTCTCTTTTGTCTAAGATCAGATTTATCTAGCTAACCAACATTAAAAATGTGTAAATTTCTGGCAAACACAATGAATCTTGAATATATTAAGGAAACAAACAGATGAACCATCTGGAAACAAGACATAGATCTGAAATAACTATGCCAGTGGCACAATCCAAACATAACCCCTGGCATAATTTACACAGAGCAACCATATCAAGAGCCAGAAACTATTAGAAGGCTGAGTTTAATAATGACTGCACATTACCATTCCGCTTGCTGGGTAAATATTGACAAAAGAGTGGCACGTGCTGTAGAATTGTATCTATGTCCTCCATTCCCCTCTAGGGAAGTGTCTGTATTCTGAATTTTCTCTACTTTTTTTTTTTTTTCTTTTTATCTTTCCCATCTCTTTCACATCTTGAATTATTTTATTAGGTGTAGCCCTGCAACTGCAGGAATTGCTTTGTTGATTTTGATTTTATTTTTTATAACTGATACATCATACACATTATAATTCATAATTGTTTATGCACACAAATGCTTAATATTATGTAAAATATGACAGTTTGATAAGTAGAGAAAATTTGCACATCTCTATTAAGCAGACCTTAATTTTACCGATTGTTAGAGATTCACACCCAATTTGTCAGCACTCTCTTTTAGTTATCACTTGAAGAGATTTCAGGTCAAACAAGATGGTCACATAATCCCCATGCAAACTAAACTGCTTGTGATTAAAAGTGCTAGGTTTTACTGTTACGTAAGTAATGTTTTTCAGCTGGGTGCATTCTCCCATGGCAGTGAATGGTTTTGGTAGCTCTCACTTTCATTGGCAGTGATCACGGGGCAACACAAATTAGATCCTGTATTCTTTACGTCTCTATGTTGCTAGCAAAGGAGAGACACCTCAACAAACAAAACATGTTGAAAATGCAGGGTGTTTTGAATGGTGAATATATTGCAAAGCTGGATAGGATCTAGGTTGCATTATATCTTAAAAAGTGACTGATTTAAGCCCATACCTAATGTATTTTGTGGGTTAGCATTAATTTGACTTGCTGAGTGGGTGGAATTTATGTATGTAATGCATTGCACTAGGCAAATAAAAACATCCTCCTTCAGTAATAAAGGCGAAGGCAGGCTCCATACTGGCAAGACAAGTATTATCTTCAAAGACTAACTTAATATCCCTCTGACTCCTGTGGCACAGTAATGCAACACACTGCAAATGACCACTGCCAGGAAATACAGTTCTGGCATTTGACTTCAAGCCAATTTTTGTTGTTTTTATTTTTAATCTCTGCTCAGCATTTGTCCCATCTGCTTCAACGTCATCCCATTTTTCCCCTTTCCCTCCCCTTTTCTATTACTCTTAACATCTCTTTTTTTCTGTTTGCTCAGGTATTTCAAATTATCTTGGTTCAAAAGGTTTTATCGCCTTTCCTTTCACTTTTGTTCTTGTCTTGCTTCCATAACATGCAACAACAATAAATATACTTAATTAAAATACTTTCACTAGCACTTACCAGTATGTCAGACAAATATAATCACAGCAAGTATATAGTAACAAGGCTTTGCTCTGGAAAGCTTCCTACGTTAATTAGATTTCCAGAACAAACTTTAGAAACGGACATGGAGAAAAGGAAGAGAATTTCCACACTGCTAACAGATTTGGAAATAGAACCTATTTGTGTGTTTCAACTCATCGTGATACTTACTTACTTATTCTACTGATACTTCCTTTGCTTCTCTTTCCATTAGAAATTGGCTTTGTTTTGCCTTGGAGGAAGAGATGCCATGTTTATTGTAAAAACTCTTCTACACAAACAAGGGCCTGACTTACTGAAATGAAGCTCCATTCTCTCAGAATTGAGCCTATACCAAAGACCTAGTTGGGACTGTACCCAAATTATAAATTGTATTTGTTACTGATATAGCATATTTTGTAGCCTGATCATGCCTCTTCAGAGTGAGTTTTAGACTGTTTGGTAATCAGAATAAAATGAAGTCAGTTTCAGTCTGTGCAAATGGGTTGGATGATGATTTAAACAGGTAGATGAGATTTCCCTTCGTTTGTGTGGAAGCTCTATGTGCATATCTAAAGATAAAACGTGTGTCGAGTATTCTTTTTTTTAATTTCCCCTCCTTTTTTTTTTTCACTTTCAGGATTATCTTTTAGGAGCTGGAAAGTGTTTACTCTTTCCAAAATCTATGAAAATAATGATCTGTGAGTGTGCCTTTGCCTGTGAGGTCAGCCAAAGGATTTTTGCCATTTCTGGAATAGATTCCTAAAAGCTCTGAGTATTCCAGATCCAATCAAATTCAAGAGATCTTATATG